AGGCCCTCTCCGAGCCTCCCCCACGGCACAGCAAGGCCCTCTCCCAGCAGACCGGAGCCGTCATCATTTAGCTCTGCTCGGACACTTCAGCGACAAGCTCGTCTCCATTTTCACCAGTTGTCCTAACTGTCAGGAGCGCCTTCCCCACAGTGAATCCAAAATTCCATCCTCGCTTCGAGTGTCTCTCTCCTCGGGGCAGCATGTGCGCCTACTTCTCTTCCCGAGTGGCAGCTCTTCAGCAGGGTGACAGGAGTACCAGAGCAGGGTGACAGGAGTAACAGAGCGGGGTGGCAGGAGTGCCAGAGCAGGGTGACAGGAGGAACAGAGCGGGGTGACAGGAGTAACAGAGCGGGGTGACAGGAGGAACAGAGCGGGGTGACAGGAGTAACAGAGCGGGGTGACAGGAGTAACAGAGCGGGGTGGCAGGAGTGCCAGAGCAGGGTGACAGGAGGAACAGAGCGGGGTGACAGGAGTAACAGAGCGGGGTGACAGGAGGAACAGAGCGGGGTGACAGGAGTAACAGAGCGGGGTGACAGGAGTAACAGAGCGGGGTGGCAGGAGTGCCAGAGCAGGGTGACAGGAGGAACAGAGCGGGGTGACAGGAGTAACAGAGCGGGGTGACAGGAGTAACAGAGCGGGGTGGCAGGAGTGCCAGAGCAGGGTGACAGGAGGAACAGAGCGGGGTGACAGGAGTAACAGAGCGGGGTGGCAGGAGTGCCAGAGCAGGGTGACAGGAGTGCCAGAGCGGGGTGGCAGGAGTGCCAGAGCAGGGTGACAGGAGTGCCAGAGCGGGGTGACAGGAGTGCCAGAGCGGGGTGGCAGGAGTAACAGAGCAGGGTGATGGAAGTAACAGAGCAGCGTGGCAGGAGTGCCAGAGCGGGGTAACAGAAGTACTAGGGTGGGGTGGCAGGAGTACCAGAGTAGGGTGGCAGGAGTATCAGAGCAGTGTAAGAGGAGTACCAGAACAGTGTGAGAGGAGTAGCAGAGCAGTGTGAGAGGAGTACCAGAGCAGTGTGAGAGGAGTACCAGAGCAGTGTGAGAGGAGTACCAGAGCAGTGTGAGAGGAGTACCAGAACAGTGTGAGAGGAGTACCAGAACAGTGTGAGAGGAGTAGCAGAGCAGTGTGAGAGGAGTACCAGAGCAGGGTGACAGAAGTGATAGCATGTCTCCTGAGTCCTCTCTTTTCTAAATGAAGCGAGGCTGCTGGATTAGCAATGGTCGCTCACGGACCTTGGAATACTCTCTGATCTACAGAGATTCCCCATGAAATCCTCTATCCAGAAGTGAATCCCAATCCAGATGCGGTCCTAGAACTTGGGACGTAGGGCCGGACCATGACACCCACAGGCCACCTCCACGGACCCTGGGGTGGGCTGGGCTGGCGTGTTTCACAGCAGCGTGGCACTGTAAGCTCCTCCCATGTACGTGGTCAACTGTGACCCCTCGGCCTTCCTTCAAACTGCTATCTAACCTTGTCTCCTCTATTCCACATCTGAGCAGTGAAGGGAGGTCTTGTCACTTCCCAGGTGGCCAGGAGGAGAAAGTCTCACCACACGCAACGCTGGTGTGGTTTGGAAGGCTGGATCCCTCACGCCTTGCTGGTGGGAGGGAGAATCGGTAACTACTCTTCTACCAAGTGGCTAAACAGCAGGGGTCAGAGTTTTACCTCTTACTTTTTCATTCTTATGTTTAAATTTAAATTGTATTTATCGTTTTTGTTATTTTTAAAAAAGAATGATTTATTTACTTTTTTTTATTCATTCATTTTATTTTAATTTGACCAGAGAGATACAGAGATAGAAAGAGGGAAAGTGAGAAAGCAAGCCACCAGGTCCAGGACTCGAACCATGGTCAGCCATGTGGGAGTGTCCAGCACCTTAATCACCACGTCACCTGTTGGTCCCCTTGTTCTTGTTATTTTTAATTTGTCATAGGACACAAGCACATGCACGAGAAAGAGAGAAAGCCAGAAAGCAAGCCACCAGGTCCAGGACTCGAACCATGGTCAGCCATGTGGGAGTGTCCAGCACCTTAATCACCACGTCACCTGTTGGTCCCCTTGTTCTTGTTATTTTTAATTTGTCATAGGACACAAGCACATGCACGAGAAAGAGAGAAAGCCAGAAAGCAAGCCACCAGGTCTGGGACTTGAACCACAGTCTGCCACGTGGGAGTCCAGTACCTTAAACACTATACCACTGGCTGGTCCCAGATCGGAATTTTAAACACGAATACCCCTTGCCCTAGTAATGCCACTTCTAGAAGTTTGTATTAAGAACGGATAATAGGACAGGTACGCCAAGACCCACACGCACTGCAGTTCACAGGTGGACACCCTGCACACTCACTCACAATTGCAGGATTTTCCACTGGCCGGTCTGAATATTTGAAACAGACCACTCTGCTTTCCCTCTGCTGTCCTATGCTCCACCGTCTACACAGCTGCCACAGCGTGCTTCTAAAACACAGATTGAATCGTACCACTGCCCAGGTTAAATCCTTTCGACAGCCCCGTTCGCTGAACTAATCTGGCCTCCGGTATGTCCTGGACCACCTCAGTGAGTGGCCTGCCCTCCTCCCCGCCAAGGCCCTCACAGGCAGAGGAGCTGTCCCTGCCTCTCAGACTCTCCCAGCCTAGTCCCCACTTAGGGACTGCCTGCACCCCAGACCTCTCCAGGCCCAACTCCTGTCGTTCAGGTTTCCTGTCACTAGTCCCTTCCCTCGAGGCCCGCCTTGGGGGCCCACACTCACTCCTAGATGCACTCAAGCCCTCCACCTATTTCGTCCTCCTTCACAGTACATGGCAATGGCTACAGCCATCATGTCTTTACCAGGGGTCCTTGAAAAGGTCACAGAAAATGTGTCAGGGAGGAACTATGCATGGGTTTCAATTTTGTTTTTTTTTGGGGGGGGGCACCAAAATAAACTCATACTTGAATTTCATTTTCCACAAACTTTTTTTTT